TTGTTGACCAGCTCCAGCTGGGTCAGCCTCTCATGGACCTGCCTCTGGAAAGCCTGGGGGGGGAACAGAACCAGAACCGCCCAGTCAGGCTTCACATTCAGGCTCAGAAAACTTTGATGTTTTTGAGCATCACATTTTTTGGGTGGATTCAGGTTTTTTCCAAGGTGGAAAAAATATGCATTTTCGAATGTATCTGCATTAGTGTGGACATGGCTAGATCATTATCTATCTATCAGTCTTTAGCCACTCATACTTACTTACTTCTCCAAAGGGCTAACAAGCTAGCTGGATACGGGCTAGCTCTATACAGGCTAGCGGGTTTACATTCTAGCTGATTCACAGGCTAGCAGGTCCATACTTCACTGCAACACAACGGTAAATAGGTCAGTGGAGTGCCGTAGTAAGCTAGGACCATTAAGGGTAGATCTGCGTTGCCGTGGAGATAACAGAGGTCAGATTACCGAACGCTAATCTTGTCAATAATCCTCGTCCACACACAGGACCTCCGCCTACAAACACCTGGCTGAGCGCTCGGTGGCTAAGTGCTTCTCAATGTCTCGCCTCATCCCTCTTGGATAAATGTTTATATGCAACAAATAATAACAATATAGGATGAGTGTGTTTGGTGTGATTCTTGAAATATTGCATTTGAAGTTATTGATTTGATTATATGATTATATTATATTGAGTTATTTATACTTTTCTGCCTATATTTCCCCCCAAACACCAAGCCATGCCCTAACGTGTTTAACTCTTTATCACATGGATATTATTTCATGTTTGCCCAAACAGCATCTATTATACTCCTAGCCATCAGTTGAAGAACAACTCCCCCATATATTCTCCTTCTCATCGTTTACTCCTCTCCCTCCAGGGTTTGGAGAGTTTCTCCTTGAGTGAGTTAGTGTTTTCCTATTGTAGGGCCAGTGAAGCCCTGTGAGACGTTGTGATAAAGGGCCATACCGATAAAGTTAACTTGACTTGGTACTTGCGAAACCCCGTGAGACCGCCGTGATTAAGTGCTGCGCCGAAAAAGTGACGATGGTTACCGTCGGGTTTACCTCAAACTTCTTGAGCTCCTCCTTGGCGATGGTGTACAGGACGTCAGCAGACAGGGGGTTCGCCGCCGTCACCTCGGCCGACCTGAGCCAGTCCTCGAAGCGGGCGTAGTCGTCCAGGAACTTAGACCACAGCCGCCAGGTCTCCTCGATCCTGAGGAGCAACGTGGAGGAGGCCTTCAAACCTGAGTATTCAACCTTTTCAAATCTCAGCTGTTTTACCTCTCGCCGTTTTATAGACTCTGGAGGATTGGTTTGTGGCTTTAATGAAGTCACCCACTCACTCACTCCCTCCCTCCCTCCCTCCTTCCCTCTCCCCCTCACTCACTCACCCTTCCCTCACTCTACCCATTAACCCCTCCTCCACCCCCCATATACTACTCCCTCCCTCCCTCCCTCCCTCCCTCCCTCCCTCCCTCCCTCCCCAAGCATCCAAGACATTGGATGGATGATGTTAACAAAATACATTCACCAAATTCAGAGTGTCTATATAAATATATTTTATTTCCCATGATGCACCACCTTATACGGCACTCCATGCTCATAGGTCAGAAGTTTCAGTTATTGTTCACACGTGTGTTTGTCTCATGATATTTCCCATGATGCATCACCTCATGCTTATGTTGAGGTGAAGTTTCGTCAGTTATTGTTTACGAGTCTATTTGTAAATGTGTATTGTGTGCGTGTCTATGCATCTGTGTGTTTGTGTACACATGTACAGATGTCTGTACGTCCACAGACATCTCCCATGATGCACCACCTCATGCGTCGCTCCATGCTCATGGCGCAGATGTTCCTCCAGCGGCGGTCCAGGCTGCTGCTGGTCTGCTGGATGGAGTCGTTCTCCAGCTCGCCCACGCAGGCGTCGCCGTCGCGCAGCAACACGTCGCACAGCGCCAGCACCGAGGACACGCCCGCCGAGTGCTGCTCGATGTCCCGCTGCAGCTCCTGGGGGGTCAGAGGTCACGGACAGAGGTCACGGACAGGACAGGGGTCACACAGAGGCCACTGACAGAGGGCCTCTCTGTCGAGACAGAGAGGTTGAGCGAAGGTCACAGGTGAAGGGGAGATAAGTGTCGTATTTAATTTCCATATGGCCGCAACACTTTCATCCAATCAGAGCACAAAGGAAATTGTTGACGTCAAAATGAGTTAGATTTTTCCGACCTACAGAACTGTGTTGCAACTCCAACAACATATAAGCCCGCAGGAAAGTGTATTAATGATCGGCGCCGATCCGAACGAGAGCAAAATGTATGAAATCAGACGTCTGTGTTGTGCCGAATGCTTAATCAAAACCTTTTCTCGGACGGAGCGCGCTTCGCTCGCGGGAGTTAAGAAAATAAAGGCACCGCTAACAAGCACAAATAAAAACTTCTTATGCTTTTTCGTAAAAAAAACTCGAAAAAATCTATAATGGTTTTTTTCCAGGCTTTCACGGTTGTGTGTGTGTGTGTGTGTGTATGTGTGTGTGCGCGTGTGCGTGTTAGCTCTCCCCATGCGGCCTGACAGCACTTTTGTCGTTGCTTGTTTGTTCAAAGTTAGCACTTTTGGGGGTTGCCGAGGCAACGGCGGTAGGCCTGCAGAGCAGCATCTCTCCTTCTCCCCTGCTCCTTTCTCCCCTAATGGGACTCCTCCTCCTCTGCCTCCTCCAGTCTGTCACTCTCTTCACCTCCCCTCTCCTTACCTTCATCATTTTCTTTGTCATATTTTTCGCCCCACCATCTCACTGTCTGAATCTCTTGTTCGGCTGCTCTTATTGTACGCGCGCACTTTCACGCTCTCTCCCTCTCTCTCTGTCTCTCTCTCTCTCTCTCTCTCTCTCCGACCTGAATTCGCAGTTCCTTGTCCACATCTTCTCTGTTTCACTTTGTTTTTCTCTAGCCCTCCCCCATCTCTCCCTCACTCTCCCTCACTCTCACTACTTTCTATTTACCCCCCGCTCTCTTACTCCCTTTTTTTTACTCTTTTACACCTCTCTCTCTCCCGATCTCTCTCTCTCCATTAACTGTACCTCTCTCTCCATCCCTCTGTGTTCGGCAGCTCACAGCGGGTCCACCCGGTTCTCTATAAGACTAATGGGCCCCGGGGACCACCCTCGGCACACAAAACCAGACAAGTCAACCACCGCCGCCGCCTCCTCCGAGACACGTGACGGCTTCCGGACCGCTCCAAGTCCAGCTGGGTCTGAGTGATGTCCTGATATAGTACTGAGGTAGCCCTGAGTTAGCCCTGAGGTAGCCCTGATATAGTCCTGAGGTAGCCCTGAGGTAGCCCAAAGGTAGCCCATATGTAGCCCTGATGTAGTACTGAGGTAGCCCTGAAATAGTATTGAGGTAGCCCTGAGGTAGCCCAGAGGTTGCCCTGATATAGTACTGAGTTAGCCCTGAGGTATCCCTAATATAGTCCTGAGGTAGTCCTGAGTTAGCCCTGATGTAGCTCATATGTAGCCCTGAAATAGTACTGAGGTAGCCCTGAGGTAGCCCAGAGGTACCCCAGAGGTAGCCCTGATATAGTCCCGAAGCAGCCCCTGCTCTGGTCCTCAAAGTGCCATCATTATGACCAGGACCAGGACTAAGAGGTGGTCGGGTCGGGCTGCTTTGCATGGAAAGCACCCTATAAATAAAGTTTGATTAGGTAAAGCATGAAATAAATAAAGTCGAGTTAATTCAGGAGCGTCCGCTTTAGTAGATCTGACCCACCTGCTGCTCTGAGAGTTTCTTCTGGATCTCGTCGCCGTGGCAGCGGTCGTAGACAACGGGCCGCGCTAGCTCCGCCTCCACATGGGACAGCCAGGTCCGCAGGTTGCTCATGTTCTTGTCCAGCCTCTGGACGGTGCCGAGGGTCTCCTTCAGCTTCCTGACCCTGGAGAGAAACACAGCCACCGGGTCACGGAGGTCGCACTCCCAGCAAGGGCTTTACCTGTGTATTCGGGTTACCGTGGTTACAAGGCCACGATCGTAACCGGTTAGACCGGTTGAAGAAATGACAGGCGAGATAAATCCAACAAGAACATTTGAATAGATTTGCATAGATCGGTATGCTGTGGATCAAACGTCTTGACTTTTACTCTTTCTTTTAAAATAATCGCCGTGGTGGCACTTCAAGGTCGTCAAGGTATTTCAAGATGCTCAGATCTCTCATTTGCTCTCGAATAAAATACGTCTCCGTGTCCAAAACTGTGTTGCACAGTTCGCCAGCAAGTGTGAAAGGTGCCCAGAGAGGCTCTCCAGACCGCAGACAGGAAGGCGTTTCAGACCAGTAGCGTGTCACGAAGTCTGCATAGAGAAATAACCACCGGTTCCAGTGACCTTCATACCGAGCAGCCAGGGTGTGAATTACACACTAACCATGTAAACACAGCCTGTTATCATGTTGTGTTGTTCTTCACACCGAGACGCCCCTCTGCTTTGTCTGGGAATAGCACCCCTAACCCTGCAGTGTTAGTGCCTTGCTCTACTGAGCTACACCGGGATTATTATAACCTCTAACCCTGCAGTGTTAGTGCCTTGCTCTACCTACTGAGCTACACAGGGAATAGGACCCCTAACCCTGCAGTGTTAGTGCCTTGCTCTACCTGCTGAGCTACACAGGGGATTATTATAACCTCTAACCCTGCAGTGTTAGTGCCTTGCTCTACCTACTGAGCTACACAGGGAATAGGACCCCTAACCCTGCAGTGTTAGTGCCTTGCTCTACCTGCTGAGCTACACAGGGATTATTATAACCTCTAACCCTGCAGTGTTAGTGCCTTGCTCTACCTACTGAGCTACACAGGGAATAGGACCCCTAACCCTGCAGTGTTAGTGCCTTGCTCCACCTACTGAGCTACACAGGGAATAGGACCCCTAACCCTGCAGTGTTAGTGCCTTGCTCTACCTACTGAGCTACACAGGGAATAGGACCCCTAACCCTGCAGTGTTAGTGCCTTGCTCTACCTACTGAGCTACACAGGGATTAGGACCCCTAACCCTGCAGTGTTAGTGCCTTGCTCTACCGACTGAGCTACTGCTAGCCCTGTACTGCTAGCCTGGAGAGAGAGGCGATGCTAAACGGTGTGACTGCTGATCTACATCTCTGCACAAACAATACACACACACACACACACACACACACACACAATACACACACCACACACACAATACACACACTCATTCCTGTGTCATGTGAGAGACGCCTGTGAGAACATTCCATCACATGCATGTGTGTGTGTGTGTGTGTGTGTGTGCGTGTGTGTGTGTGTTGACAGGGATGTGTATGTCCTCGTGTTGGGAAACACAAACAAAAGTATTTGATACCAGCAGAGCAAAACAAGCTGTGAATGTTCTTGTTGGCGCAACGGAGAGAGCCGTGCGCTATTAGCTCCGGGGAGCGGGGGTTCGAGTCCCGGCAAGGGAGCTCTCTCTCTGGGATTGTCTAATTTTGACGTCACCTGATTTGTAATGTCCAATACAAGTGCGACTTTCCAGTATATCTCAGTGGATGTCCAGCTGGCGCAAGGCAGAGCGCTGCGGGTTATCAGGTCTGTGGACCAGGGTTCAAGTCCCGGCAAGGGACATCTATGTGGTTTCCTCTTGTGTATTGTGATGTCAAATACAAGTGCGACTTCCCTGCAGGTCATAGCGGAGCGTCTCGGTGGCGTGATGGAGAGAGCTGTGGTCTACTGCTCTGACTGACCTGGTATCGAATCCTGGTAGTTGGACTCTCTCCCCAGGGGTGGAGGGGGGTATAAGAAGTACCACAACAGTCAGTGACACAGGTGTCCCAGTTAGGCAGAGGTCTCCAACATCTTGTTCACTGGGACACCGACTTTTGTGGTAGCACAGCAGTCAGTCTCCCAGTGAACAAGATGTTGGGGACGGCAGGTCTCCAATGCCTTGTTCCACACCCGTTGCGTTACACCACATCTCCAACAGCCCTCTGTCAACCCCAAGAGCCCTTCTTACACACCCCCCCTCCACCCCTGGGGAACAGGGAGAGAGTCCAACTACCAGGATACGATACCAGGTCAGTCAGAGCAGGAGACCACGGCTCCCTCCATCACACCACCGAGACGCTCCGCTATGACCTGTAGGGAAGTCGCACTTATATTTGACATCACAATACACAAGAG